CTTCTTCTTCTTCTTCAACAGAGAGGAGTGTTTTAGTTATTTCAGCAAAATGATTTCTATTCATCAAGTTTGGGTGTTTTTTAGTGTATTAATTACTGTTAATTTAAAGGTTTAGTGATAAAACATTAATTTAGAGTATTGTTCAATTTTTCTTTTCAAAGGCCGTACTGGGCCTAATTTTCCCTTTATTAATTTCGGATCGGATATTCGATAACATTGTAAATCGGATATGGATTTAGCAATAAAAATTCGTTAGATTATCGGATCGGATCGGATAAATTTTCTTATCGGATCAGATTGGATATAGGCAGATCCGATCCATTTACAACCCTACTCACAATGGTGGGGGCCAGCAATTTAAAAAATCACGAACCCCACACTCCATTGTGAGAAGAGTGTAAGTCTTAATGTACACAAGAGAGTGTATATTAAGACTTATTCTATATATTTTTCGGCCCGTGTTTTTCCTCCCGTGGCTCTTTCTTATATTTTTCTTGGCTACGGCTCTCCTTGTGTTGTGTATATATATATATATATCCTAATCAACCCCAAAATCTTCTCTTTTAATTCATCCAATAAAAGTCCAATTGAGGCACATTTAATGAATTATTTTTTTCAAAGCAAGTCCTTCACGTTTTAAAGTACAAACTTTAATCTCCAAAATATGTTCTTAACGTTATTGTACTGACTGCACACTTTTCTTGAGCCGACTTCTTCGTCATCAACCAAAATAATGACTAGTTGGTTGTCGACTACTTTGCAATGGAATACAATACGACATAAAGGAATATCTCCATTGTGAAAACATCTCGAAACAAAATATTCAAACAAAAAAAAGTGATAAAAGTATTGGAGCCAAATGAACTCAACTCCAAACTTACGATACTTAGGAGTCAAATAACGTCGGAACTGAAACTGAAATTATGTTGGCCTGTTTTCGCTGGATCCAATATTAATAACGTTTTGTCCCTTCTTCCGCATTTCATGATCGGGAACAGCTTTCTCCGAGCAAATTCATGAAAACGAAGAATTGATTCTGAAAATCATCTCTTTCTCTAGGTGCAGTATGCATGAAGCCTTAACGATTTTTCATATCCTCTTTCTCTTTCTAAATTTCTCCTCTGTCTTCCTCTCCTCCTATGCCAGAGGCGGCCTTCATCAATCTAATCACTCGGGTATATTTCTATTTCAACTCTTGATCCGCACCAAAGATTGAAACTTCATACTTCTTGATTTATATTTTAAAGAATCTCTAATGTATTTTCTTAAGTGAAAAATCAGGATTTTTCGTGTTTTGAATTTATTTTGTGAATTGCTTTAGTTTGGAGCTGTCACTAACTGATTTTAATTGAAAAGAGCTGTGGAAAAATGTTGGTCGTGGTGTGCATTAATTTTATGGGGGTGATCGCTATGTGTTTATTGAAAAGTCTAAGAGAAGTAATTATGTGGAGCAACATCTTTTGTATCTGGAGATACTCAACGTTTAACACTTCCAATTACTAGGATATTTTTAGGCTTCATAATAAAGGTGTTGTTTTTATTATTTGGAAAAATCGAATTTGATTATTTGGTTTCTGGTTTTGTATTGTTACTTATTTTTTATTTTGTAGGTTATGTAGATAACAATTATGGGGGTTCTATCAGGCGGTTATATGCAGAAAAGAACTTTCTAGTATCTGAGGAAGAGCACTTTCAGAAACTGTATATGCCAGCTTAGACTTTTTGTTTAGATTTAATTTACATTATTTTAGAATCTACTAAGTAATTATGTTGATTGTCAAAATTACATTTTTACAGTGAAAAATTAGCTCAAGGGTATATGAGTAATTCAGATCTCGAGAAGGCCATCAAGGCATTTAATGGCCGATGCAGTAACATATCCAGAATCTACAGGTAATTGATACTTAGCTTTGTCTCAATAACTACCCTTCAAAATTCGCAAAAAGAGTCTGTGCTTAGTTTCTTTGGCCATGATGCATATAGAAAATGTGAATAAAGTGGTTTCAGCATTTCTTGCAATCTGTTCAGATGAAAAACTTATCATCTATCACAGGAAAAGGGAAAAAGTATCCGGCTCATAATATAGTTGAGGTTATGGTTTTGTTGGGTTTGAGTCCTTCACTTAATAAAATTGTACTAGGGATATATTTTTAAATGAAGACATCGCCCTGTTTGAGCCAAATTATTGTAGAATGAGAATGAAAAATATAGCCGTTATTGGGGCCCACGTAAAAGATAGAAATTTTGAATTTAAATGTTGATGTGATGGATAACAATCATATTTTTCATTTTAATGAAATAATAATGTAGATGAAACGGGGGCTAATCTCTGAATACAAAGTTATAAAGCTTACTACACACACTTCATAATGGGTCAATTGTAGAGAATTTGAAATCAAGAAACCTACATTTTTAATCTTTTTATGTTTTTGTGTAATGCAACACTTTCAAAAAAATAAAAAAAATCAAGCTATGCTTGTGGACTCCTTAAAAAGAGTAGACTTCTCAAATAACAATTGCTACAGAAAACATTTCTTTTACAAAACATTTTTTTAAATCTAGGCATCCAATGTTTGGTTACATTTTCATCCCATTATTGAATGCTATAGGCTTAATGGGTTCATTTCCTGGTTCAACAGTCTGGGGTTTTGTAAGTGGCAAAGTGCTTAGTGTGACAGTAGAATTTTTTGTTATCAAAGAGCGAAAAAGGAGTTTCTTGTGTGAGATTTTATTCATTTTAAATGTATTACATTAACATTGAGGGGAACATCAAACTTGATGATCATCTCTTGTTTTGGATATTTATAAAAGAGCAATAGTGAACTTAGCGTGGACCTGGTCATCAAATGTGGATACATTCAATTAATAATACTTATGTGAAGTATTGTTTTTAACATTTTTACTATTGTCTGACACGCTCTTGTTACTCTCTTTGAGGGATTATCGGAATTCGCAATCAGTATTGGAGAGAGTGTTCTTGGAGTTCCATTGGTAATACTACTCGTTCAGTCAAATCTGAATGTTTCTCTAGATCCCTCTTGAGTTGATAGTTGGATCTCCTGCGCAACAATTTACTTATCTTTCGGTTTCTTGAATGTAGTGGGTGATGGAAATTTCTGACAGGCCTGGAGAAAAAGAGGCTGAGCCTGCTTTTAAGGTAATGATATCCTAGTCAAAAATACCTTGTAACATTGTGAAACCATTCTCCTCTGAAAATTGTATCTGTATATTATGCTGGATTGCCAACAGCAACTTGTTGATAATAGAGGAAATAATCAAGCAGGACAAGTTCATGGAACAACTATGCTCGATCAGTTGATTGCATGTTTATCTTTTTGTAATTGGAGCTAACTGCTACTAATGGTCAAATTTCAGAAGGAAGAAAGAAATATTTTTACTTTCCAAGAGAACTCATGTAAATTTAGTCCAGTAAATATGCTATGTAGATGGGTTGCTTATATCAATATAGGCGTGATCCAAGATGACTTTGGAATTAGTTGCCAATTAAGGGTTTACAATTTAATTTTGTGTAAATGGGATCGTTTGATTGCTGTTGCTCAATTTGTAGTATACGGTGTTTAAAGAATTAGATTATTAGTTGTCAATCAAGTCACAAAAACTTTATTGAAAGTTTTGAAGTTATACAATGCATCACCAGTGCTGGAGGAAGTTTTAATAGCTTTCGCTAATCTACAGAGTTAATCTACGTATAAGTGGTAAAGTGAGTCCAAAAAAGAGCTCTATTTACCAGCCATAATTAGTTTATCTGAGTACTGGAAAGGCTTAGAAAAGACAGGTCAGATCGTCAAGAAGTCGTACACAGCAACATTTTTTGAACAATGCATGACAGTGCTGTAAAAGATGTAAGTTTGTCCATTTTTTCTGGCCTAACCAAACAATTAAGGGACTAAGGGAAAGGGAGTTTTGAACTTGTTTGGCTTTTCTGATTTTTCCTTTACTTTCTTCTCCCTCTCAATATTGCATCGGCATTGAGATCCAATATTTGTTTTATATTGATTATTGAGTCAAGAAATATTAAAAGAAACATTCATGTCTTTGCATTTGTTTGACTAGGAACTGGGTTAACTTTATGATATTTCCCCTTTTGTTTCTGTCAATAGTATGTAACAGTGTTAATTTTTTCTTTGATATTTTTACTTAGTGCTTCTTTATGCAATTAAATATATTTAGAAATCTTCTGTCTGCCCTAAAAGGTGCTTTGGTAGTATGTTGTGACTGAATAACTATCAATCTTCGTATTCCAGTTCATTGGAAATGTGCATGGAGATGAACCTCTAGGTCGTGAACTTCTGTTGCTTCTAGCAAATTGGATTTGTGATAACTACATGAAGGACCAATTGGTAATGTTATTTTCTTTTCCAACGAAGTCTTTATAGTCAGATATTTGCGATGTAAATCTTTTGGCTTTCCTAGTTGTTTTTCTACTTACTATGTTTTGTAGCATAGAACATTCTTAACAGTTAAATACCTACCATCTATTTCTAACAGTGTCACGAGTGTATTCCAAACTTGGCAATTGATTGCAACCTTTGTGTTCTTCTATGGAAATCTTGTAATCCAAGTATCCAACTGTTCGAACTCACAGTTCTTAAATGGCAATTACAATAATTGTTCTTTTGTTGAACTGATGTCATACTTGGCCAAGGCTAGGATATAGTGTTCAAATATGTTACTTTAATAAATATTGTAAAGAACATGATATTATCCGTATGGATTATGGTACTTGTCTAGCTCTATCTTTTATATATTTAAAGACGTGTTCTTGTAGTTAGATGACATACGGGATAAATTCTAAATTTAGTCTTTTGAAGCAAATTGAAATGTAAATGTTAAGTAGAACTAGTTTGTACTATATAGAATATTCTTTGTCATTGTAGGAATAAGGATGCCATTGGAGTCGCTATATAGGACCATCTAGTCCAAAAGAACAATTCTTGTGCATTCAGGTTTGATCGTTGTTTTGTCAAGTGGTCGATACAAGTAATAAAGTAGTGACTAGAGTATCGTCCTACGATGATTTATTATGGGTTTAATTAAAACTAATTTCAACAAAACAAACTATTATGATTAGGGTTTTAAATTTGACTTCCATAGTTAACAACTAAACTATGCAAATTAATAATTGAGAAAGCAAGTATTTAGATAGAAATTAATTAAGAAAATAGTTCCCAATTCACTAATTAACCGTACTCATGTTCAATTCATATTTTGGTTCAATTTTTATGTTTTCGATCATTAAATTCAAGATAACATATTAACATTCATCTATTGAGTACTTGTTAATCTATCCCTAATTATCGAAATTTCCTCTCTCGATTATTAGTTTGATAAAGCGATGCATAAGAACATATGAACTGCATGAATTAAGTAGAAATTTCTCAATTTAACAACAAATTCATGAAAAGAAAAATTGATTGTTCTAACATAAATTCTCTCGATTTAACATGCAATAAATATCATGTAATTTAATTCTCGTGAACAAACATGAAAGAATCAATCACATCAATTCTACGCAACTATATGAAGAAAAATCCAAAATATTGAATGAAAACATGAGTAGAAGTTAATTAGCTACATCGTTCGTCCCAACAAATAATCTAGCCAAGATCCATGATAAAGAAATCAAGACAAGAAGACTTTAACATAGATATCCCCCGATATGTTTAAGAGAAAGAAGATAGGTTGAATCTCTTCAATCTTCAATTTCAAGAGCCAGGATATATTCATGCTTAAATTCCCATTAATTCCTTTCCCCTCTCTTTATGATTTCTCCCAAAAGATGGATTTTGATGTGTTTTTTTTGTCGTTAATATGTTTCTTTCCTTTCTTCTTTCTCCCTTTTTCTTGATCTAGTTTTGTCCTCTATAAGCCTTGAAGTCCATTAAAAACGGTGAACCAAAATTACCCCAAATTGCCTCGATTAGGCAACTTTTTTAAAATCCCGAATCTGGCTGGAACAGGGCTGTGATTATCAAGCAAAGTGATATAAAAGGATTCGTGTTGTCAAACCCAGATTTATTGAGGATAAGACTTATTTTTGTTCTTGTTTTTGTGTGATGTTCTTGTAGTACAACATTATTTAAATATGATTTTAATACGGTTCAAATGGTATTCATTTGAAATTAAACTATTTGCTGCCTTTGTTTACATGTTACATATATCTTCATTCTCTAGGCATTATCATTGAGATCAGGAGATCATGCTTTCTGTATCTGATATATTCTATGTACATCTCTTTGTGTCTAACTTATTTATATTGCGGTTCTGCTCACAGGCTACCTTGATTGTGGATAATATCCACCTTCATATACTTCCTTCCATGAATCCCGATGGATATTCATTGAGGAAGCGTGGTAATGCAAACAATATAGACTTAAATCGTGATTTTCCAGACCAGGTATCTTGGTGCATTGTTATCTTACACATTGCGGTCTATATAGTTCTTTTTAAGAAATATTTCCTTCTTTTCAAACTTTTTGCATGTGGTTGGATAGTTGGAGTAAGTTAGGAGCTTGAGTGAATAATTTCTTTACCTTTTGAATTATCCCGTTTTAAAAAGTTAATGCTTGAATTAAGAGGATGTGATGAAAAAAGTTTCTTGCAAAATATAAAAAAATTGAGATGTTATTTTCATGTGCTGTATTTATGCAGTTTACTTTGAAATTGTATTTGACAAATTCAGTACATAATAGATTGTGTGCTCTTAGTTCTTTAGAATCTTAGGGTTATAATAGGCACTTCTTCTGGGGGTTTTTGAATTCCTTTGCTAACGTCCTTGCTTCTTCACTATTGTAATTTTTCTTTATTTGAAGCTTGCATTTAGTGCCGATTTTTGGATTTGATTACATTTGACGCAGATTGGTGCTGAAAGTCTTTAACCTTTCTGATTTTAGATCTTTGAAAAAGAATATTCCTGATGGTGGAAACAAAATCCTTGTCCTTAAGATCCTCTCAAATGGAAATAGAGAATGAAGCAACTAGAAAGATTGTTAGAATCGCCTTATTCTAGAAGGATCATCTAGANCCAGTGATGATGAACAGTGATGATGAACAGTGAAACCGGGAGAGAACTTACTCAGGGGCTGTTTGGCTTGTGGGAGAGTGAGTGTGAGTGGAGTGTAGTGGAATGGGGTATGAATAAGGGTGGAATTAGGGCACAAAACCCTAGACGGGTTATTGGGCCAGACTTTTGGGCTTTCGGGTTTTAATTGGGGTAAAGGAATTAAAATTAAATCGGGCTCAATTGAATGGTCTTAAAAGATTGGGCTTACGTAATTGGACTAAAAATGTTAAATTTTAATAATTGGGCTCGAAATTAATAATAATTGGATTTAAATAAAATAAATCGAAATTGATAATAAAATTATTATTCGGGATCGAATTCGATCGAATAGATTTGAATTAAATTTTACAATAGCTAGACGAACGCGCTTCTCTAAAAATTAGGGTTAACGTTTTAGCGACACGTTTTTCGAGAAAACTAATTTATACAATTCTAAAAGTTCGCGGTCGCTACAATATGTCTTCCCAAATCAATTCCCATTTCGAGAACTTTAACTATAGTTTCATTTTTACAATGGTTAGAATTTACTTTTGTTCTTTTTTGAACCTAGTAACTATTATGACCAATTTTGTTTGCTTTACTGTGTCTTAAATTGGAGCAACTCATTAAAGAGCATTGACTGACATGATTGACATAGTTCTTTCCAATGAATGATGACCTGGATTCACGACAACCTGAAACGAAAGCAATCATGAATTGGTTGGAAGAGATACATTTTACAGCATCTGCCAGTCTGCACGGGGTAATGGTTTTCTTTCTCCCTTGCTTTGACACTTGTCAAGTTTAACACTGTCACCCTATTGCCCCTTTTCCCATTCTCTCAACTGTTTTCCTGACCCTATAAAGTTCTATGCATGTGAATATGAAAAGTAGGTGCATTTCAAGTATTATATGCTGCCTTTTCTCCTTTAAGAGTGGTAAAGAATCATATGCTGCCTTTTCTCCTTTAAAAGTTTTTAAATGTATGATATATATGCTACACATGCATTCACAATTTCAGTTGAATAAAAAATTTGCCCACGAGGCGTTTCTTTGCATATTAATAACCACATGTCTATGGAATAAGATAATATGTTAAAAGGCTTATGACAAAAAGAAGCAAAAGGAGAGGAGGCTCCGGGGAAAGATCAAAATAATATAATATCCCTCAATACCCATGGCAGATAAAAGAGAAAAACATTATAATCAGGTCTCTAATATAGTTGCTGATCTAGAATTGGTCTAATGATGATGATGAGGTGTGTTCTGTCAAGGCCAGTTTTTGGGTGCAATGATTACAGAAAAAATCGTACATACATGCCCTTGTTTGGGATCCATTAAAATCAAATTTTGGGGAAAATGTATTTTGGATTAGTGATTTTTTGAACAATGTGTGGTTAAGAAATAATGAAAAGTTTTGGGATTATGTGTAATATTATTTTATTGAAGAATGTGTGGTTGAAAATATGACGGAGAAAAATGTATTTTTTTTTTTAGAATGGAGCCCAAATAAGGGCTACATTTTAAAATTTTAATCTTTTTATAATTGTCATCATTTATCAAGTATTTTCTTTGTTTATAGGGAGCACTTGTTGCTAATTATCCATGGGATGGAACTGAAGATAGAAAGTAAGATTTCTATGCTGTTATTTTTGAATTCTTGTGCATAATAGGGCCAGATGCTGAATCTGTCCTGCCAAATCATCAGTTGATGTTCTGTCCTTGCGTGTGCTTATCTTGACGAATTGCCAAGGGTGTCTTATACTTTCTGAAATTCAATCCAAAAAAAGAGAGGAAGAAATTGCTAGATGTCTACCATTGTCACCCTAACCTGTTGGCCTTGTTAACTTTATAAACTGGGTTTTATGGCATTTTTTTAAAAAATTTATTTAATTATGTTCTTCTCATGCTAAGAAAGGATTTCTTTCCTAATTAATATATTTTCCGTTGCAAACTCCTCAATGACCTTTGATTTTTGTTGGTCATAGTGTCACATCATTGCTACAATATTTCACTGTATTTTATCTGAAAAATTGTTCTCATGGTCTTTTGGAGGTCAATTATATTACTCTATCAATTGTAACTTGTATGATTTTGCTGCTATTAAGTCTAGAGAATGCCGAAAGTGATTTTTCACGCGAATGCTTTTGGATGCTGGAATTGTACTCTTTTTGTACTTTATCTGGTATCAAATGTAGAGAACCACCCTATGCAATTTGTTATCTAGTATTTAATGTTAATTATTACGTGTGTTTCTGTTAAATTTGCTTTATGGATATTTATGATAGTGCTTGACGCTTTCCGAGTTTGTTTATAAAATAGATCAAGTTACTTCTTCTAGAAGTTCCTAAATCTCTTTCAGTTGATGCTTCTAAAAGCAGAACTTTTTTGATACCTGACATTTCAGGAAAAATTACTATGCATGTCCTGATGACGAGACTTTTAGATTTTTGGCAAGTGTATACAGTAAATCTCACCATAACATGTCTCTGAGCAAGGAATTTCCTAAAGGAATTACAAACGGAGCATTCTGGTACGGCCTTGCAGAAGTATATACTATGAAATTTGTATAATGAGAAGTGCTTCAAAATTTTATTAGCTATCTTGAGGCTTTCTTTCTTATCACTATTTTTTTAACCAAATATAATGCCATTTAAAATTCTAAGGATTTCTAGTTTTCCACTTCCCGTGGTGTTTATTAGGTATCCTATATATGGCGGCATGCAAGATTGGAACTACATTCATCATGGATGCTTTGAACTAACCTTGGAGATCAGTGACAACAAATGGCCTCATGCGAGCGAGGTTATATCTTATTTTGAGTTATTGTTTGATAATGAGCCTTTTATGTTTTGATGAGTTTGTGGACTGTAGTTATGATTATATGGCTCAGTGAATAGTGTTTTTACTGACACCACTTAGTAATTTTCAATCAAGTATTTACTTGTTATTGCAATAGTTTATTCCCATTGTCTGGATCAATTGTTGAAATTTGCGATCTGGAGTTCTTTAAAATGGAATAATGAACTTCTCAGTTTTGTGGCGAGTTACAAGATTGAAAGTTAGGGGAATAATGGTATTGATGATAGACATATAAGTAAAAGATCTCATTGCAAGGTGGATTCTGAAGTCTTGTGACTAACATACCACACAATCCTGGAAAATAACTGCATTTTTTGACATGGAATGGCAATTGCAAGATGAAGTTCTAGGCTAGTCTTATTTCTTGAGCAATAAAAAATACTACTAACTCCCTCTCTGACATTTGAGTTAATTGTTCTAAACATCTGTTAAATTTCTTTTTATATATGAAATAGATGGACGGTGGCATGCTAATGGAGATCCTATTAGATATATCATAGGAAGACTTTCCAAGTTTGGATTCTTATTTTAGGAAAAGTAATTAGTTTATTTTATAGATTTTCTAGCATTTTATGTTATTTTTTAGTTAAAACCCTATTTAAAAGATGGCTTATGCATTGTATTTCAGAGACTTGATTATTGAATAGAAACTATACTTTTCTCCTCCTATTTCTCTTTCTCCCTCTGGGTTCTCTCTCTTCTCCTTCCCCTTCCACTTTCTTCTCCTCTATCTCTTCTGTCTTCTTTTGATTATGTCCGTCGCCACATGCTCTTTATGTCTTTTGCTAGTGATGTATCTGCAATAAGTTCAGGTTTTTTTCTTGAAAGCACATAAATGTTTAGGCATCTATGCATTATTAGGTTTCTTATTTTTCTTTTGATTTAGCCTTCATTTGGCAAACTTCTTAAATCATTTCTAAATTGTCAAGCTTCATTTTCAACCGCATATTCCAATGGATCCACAAGCAGTATCCACTTATCTATCACTCATTTATATCTATTTATAAATTCTTCCCAAACGGAGGCTTAGTAATTGGGATACTTAATTTTGCTGTTCTTGCAATGGTATCTGCATTTTGTATCTCATCCTTAATCCAGGTTTTGGTTTTGCAGCTTCCAACCCTCTGGGAATATAATAAAATGAGTATGTTGAATCTTGTTGCAAGTTTAGTGAAGGTATGCTTTTCTGCATGGTTTCAATACATTAATCCAAATTGTATTAAGTTTGAGGGAACATTTATCATTTTTTGAGAACTTCTCCTTTTCCTTTTTATTTCATACTTTTGCAATTTCTCTGCAAAATACTTCAATGGAAGTGGCCCATCTTTTGGTTAAATTATCAACATTTGCTACATCGCGTTCATTGAGTTTGATTGTGTCTAATCTCCAGGGTGCTTCTGGAAATTGAGAAAGTTTAAAGCCCCAATGTGGGGAGTAATATTTCAGTAGAAAAACAAGTTTTCAGAAATTTTAAATTTTTAACAGACACTGGTGTATCGAGGCATTCAGTTTGTGAAATTTTTGCACCAATATATTGTCGTAAAGTTGTGCGTCTCTAACCATAGAGACAGAGATGAAGCTGAGACAGACTCTTTACGGATCTATGTGCTAGCAACTAATAATTAGCTACTTATTTCTCCCAATTAATATCATCATGTATTTGTACAAAGAACTCCATCTATGTTTCTTCATAGCCAGACCTAAGCCCTGGCAAAGGAAAGTTGTGGTAGGTTGACTGCGAGCATAGAACTTAGTCACATCGCATGACATGATACTTCTTTACATTTGTAATATTTGTATGTAGTCGTAAAAAGCAAGATTTATGCACATGTTCTTGATATATGCTGCATCATATAGACAGGAATACATGGAAGAATAGTTTCATCAGATCGTGGTAGACCCTTGCCTGCGACAATAACCATCAGGGGAATAAACTACACGGTATGATCAACCATCTTTTTTCGCTTGTAGGCATTAAATAAATCAGCGAAAGCTTTGTTTTTATCTGCTTTACCGGTTTATTAAATGACCTTCTTTAAATTGAATGCTAAGTGACTAACATCTACTTCAGGATGTTACACCCTCTTGTAACCGTAGCTCGTCTATTATTAATATTAAGAAACCATTCTCTTGGCATTATTCAATGTGTCAGTTAATAAACATAAACTTACATTGAATTTATATACCAACAAAATTCCTGGTCCTGAACAACTTATACCCTGGTTTTAGTAACATGTTAGGGGAAATCTACATGGTTGTGACAGAAAACTTCAATGTATATCTATCTATGAAATGTATTCATATGTTAAATGTATATTCTGTAACTGGTCAATCTTGTCAAAGCGTGTAGATATCATATTCGGTAGTATTAATAATGGAAGTGTAAGCTCGATGCTTACTAGTTCAGAAGCATATAATAGCTTTTTCAAACTTGAGGTGGATGTTATCATGATTTTTCATAGAAAGTAAATACAATGTTATGATATTTTAACATGCTATGTAGCATATGTAAATCATAAATGACCTCCAATTCCTTGAACTATTGTAAAATGGATCTCCCTTGTTGTGATAAAAAAATTATTATTAAGTGCCATTAAAGTTCCTTACTGGGAGACATGAGTGAACTAACATGGAACATGGAAATATATTAATCCCTGAATTCAAAAAATAATAATTAATCTTCTTCTAAGAGCGAACGTATTTTGATTCGCTACTCGAATGTCTTGGTACCACCATTGCCTCAGTGCTGTGCCACTATATTTGTCTTATACTTTAAAGATAATATTCCACCATCACCTTAGTGCTGCAGCACTACAACCTCCTAAGATATGCCCCGTACATTCCTCATTAGGTGATTGAAAAGGTCTTTGATTCTTAATTGAATATAGCCTTTGTGTTCATGTTGGTCAGTTCTTCGGAATTTGATTTGTTGAGGGCAGCTGGCATTTAATAAGGACTTGATAGTATCTACCGCATGTCCTGGATTGAGCCTTGGGATATGATGGCGGACTGTAAAGCCATCTACGCATGCTTTACTCCCAATTATTTTGGGTAACACTTGCATCCTCTATGATCAGCTTTTTTTCCTGGTCATTTTCTTCATTTGTGGTCACATCATGTTCAATGGAGATTAAAGGTATGATAATTGGTGGGGGTGACTGGTGAGAGATTGAATTAGGATTTTTGGGTTTTCTGTAAAATTGTTTATATGTGCGTACCAAACCAGGCAGGGGCGGGGGGTTAATAGAAAGAGCAACTATGAACACAGGAGTTGTAGGTGATTAGCTATAGTATCAGATTTGATGTGTTATGTAATATTTAGTCGTTTTGGGGAGTAAACAGTGAGAAGTGTTTTGAGCTGGGAGCAAAATGTCCTTTAAGTACCAACTAATCATTCACATCCATCACCTTTGGGAACTCGGGAGCTATCCCTGTGGAAATTCTCATCATCTTTAAAACCATCAGCCTCAAACTAGAATACCCTTTAGAAATTGGCAAATGAAAACCTTAACCGGAGTCTGGAATAGGGAATGGGATTCTCTCCATAATATTTTCCGACTATTTCACCTCTTTACCTTCTTGAGAAAGGAAGGTATTTCTACAAAAAAAAGAAGGGTGTACAGGACAAAAATGAAAAGAAAAACAAGGCTCAGGATAGATTTATTATTTATGCCTAGTTTTCTAAAAATCTCACAGCCCATCGGGATTTCAACCTTTGTTTTTTCTTCTTCTTTTGATTCATGGGGAGGGCGTTAGTGGTAAACAGTTCATGATTTTTGAGTTCGATGGATTGTTGTTGTTAGATTTTTCATAAATTCCATAATTTATGAAGTCGAAATTTAGCATTCTGATTTTAGTATGTTTTCTAGTTTAGGAAACTTGTGTTCTTGATCCGACTATTGTTCTAGCGATAATTTCTAATAATTCATTCTTTGACAGATTCCAGCCAGTAAACCATTTGCTGATTACCACCGGTTGCTAGCTCCCAGAGAGAAATATGAAGGTATTTGACATGAAAAGAAATTTGAACCTTCACTTTTATATTCTTAAATTCAACTATTGTATCCTGAAACCTTGCCATTCTCTGCAGTTATTGCGACAATGCCTGGATACAGATCAAAGAGCGCCTGTATTGTACTCGGAGAAGCAGCAATGACGATAGATTTTGTTCTTGATCCTGAAACCACTCATCCGGGCAGTCAACTGATAGTCGACTCTGATTGTTACTTCGAGAACAAGACAAGTCTTAAAGTTCTCGAGCTTCTTCCAAGGGCCCATTTAGAACTTTCTATAGTCTTGATTTTAATTTTGATATTTCTTTGCTTCTTAATGAATAGGAAAGTAATATCAAATTCTCTATACCAAAGACAAAGCATAGGGCCAAAACGGCCGGCTGTTATATGAAGTTCTCTGTTATACTTTTTACAGAAGAAATGTCCCAAGTTATAATTTATTTTTCACGTGTTCGTATGTATAGTCTATCATTCGTATTCTATTGAGATCATGTCACATTTATGGACGATATACTTCATGGATATTGTTTGATGAAAATTTAACAAGTATATGAGATTCTTAACAAGTAATAGATTTAGGGTTATACTACATGTACCGAATTTTTATACCAAATCTTTTACACCCCAATCACATGAGGAGGTGGGGACCACAATCTAGAATTTTTAAATACACATGGGGCTCACTCGCATTGTGAGAGGGGGGACACCATTCGGTACCCTCTCATTCGGTACATTTAGACTTGAGTTAAAAATATCGTTTCCACGAGTAATAGGCTTCATCATTTCTATTCGAAATCAAATTGACAATCAGATGAATGGATTTTTGTGTTGAATGTTTACTACTAATACTATTCTAATTTCTATCTTAATTCATGTGAAATGATTTTAAGGAAATTTTATATGAGAAGAGTGTGTTAGGAATGTGATTTCACCAATTGATATCTCGTTTCGATTTTGTACTTGCATTCTTTAGTTTAGTTTGTGTATAAATTGGTATTTGATAATTCAATTTTATTCAACTTTCTTTTTTCCGGTAAATTAAACATATTACTAAACATGATCGGAAATATCCCAATTCCGAATTCAAATACATAGAAATGTATTAAGGTGCATTATTACATATTATGACAATGTCCTAAATCTGTTTCAAACATCGCGGGAACAAAAATAAGTCAATTATTATATATGGTGATCAGACATTTAAATAAGCAAATATGATATAAATTAGTATTGTGCTACTTATACATCACCTCTTACACAAGGGGTGACATAATGCACAAGTGGCGCCTCCTCATTGGAGGTATTATGTCACCCCTTGTGTAAGGGTGATATACCCATAGCAAGACTCTATCAATTAATCACACTATTCATGCAAAAAGAAATGGTCTTTGAAATAAAATAGTAAAATAATGATTTACATCATCTTACCAACACTTTAACAAGAGGGAGATGCTACATCTACACAATGGTGTACACACGGCTTTACACTCCCATCACATGGAGTTGGGCCCACACACAATAAAATATTCGTGGGCCCCCTCCATGTGAGGGGGGTGTAAAGCCGTGTGGTGTACACATAGCATTTTTCTTAACAAGATTAGCCTAGCACGTTAATGATGAAATTGCAACAAAAGATTTGAATATTCATCACCCAGAAAATATATTTGTAAAGAGAAGAAAGAATTAATTCCAGTTTCCTTGAATTCCTTCAAATGAACCTTCAGTTGATTCCGGATTATACCTTGCTTTTTAATTTTGTGCTTTGATTCTTCAAACTTTGATGTTTATTGCCTTGAATCCCTCCTTAGCCTCCCAAATGAGATTAAATCATTGGCCAAATTATTTTCTAAAAGATGGACGAAATCAAAATGAAAACAATGCTCGAACAAACTTTTCCCATCCACACTTTCGGGAGGTTTCATAAAAGAAGACCCAACTTAACGTCCGACTTCGGAGGAATTATCTATGTGGAGGCATGGGCCAGTTAATACTGGGTGGAACACAAGTTCTTTTCCGCGTAATTGTACCATGACATCTCATGGTAGCCCAATTTTTCTCTCTGCATATCATCATTAGCAAGGTCAAACTTTTACCCTTATGCAACTTGGTCCTCGATTTGATTCCTTTAGTCAGCTCAGGTCCCTTGTAATTGTAATCCAAGTATTCCAAATTGTATTAAGGTGGTCCCCACTCTCTAAATTATGCACAACACACATCTTTTTTACATACTTTTCATTCATTTCCTCCAAAAACTCGTCCAACATCGAATTTCACCAAAGCAAATAATATTTACATGAGATTAAGCAATAATTTTCTAAAAGCATTCCCAAATATTCATATTTGATAGCCTAAGGTACTTGAAAAACGTGTCACGATCACTTTCTTAATTAATCTTAATTGGGTGAGTGTTTTATTTATTTTAGCCATGATTATCCTATGAGCATTTTGTCAAAACTATAACACAACTATATCGTAGAACTGTTATTTTTAACCTTATATAAATCATCTTAAAATATCACACACAATTCCTTTAGTGTTTTTCACTTTAGTCCTTGTGAATTATAGTTCTCATGTAATTCTTGTCATTTTATTTCCATGAATTTAGGCAGCTTGTATAAATCTCGATACAAATTGTGTAGCAAAGGGAAATGCATAAAAGTCGTTACACTCCTAGGGAGTGTACTTATAGAAAATTTGTGCATGTATTCAAGATGTTCATCACAATTTACCATGTAAGGAAAAGTAGATCACTTTTTCTTTTACATATTTAGCATTTTTTTTTCAACACGTTTGATTCAGAGAGATTAATATAGCACATTTGACTTTGTGAGTGATATATAATGTCTAGGAATCGGTAGTTGCAAAATCTTTGCTGTTTGAGTCCCAAATCGCAAGGACAACATTGAAAGCAAGCTTGACTGGAGGTGTAAATACATCACAAGGGATAGCCAAAAGAACTGAATATGTTCAGGGATGTTATTTTCACCAATATATAATTTACGTAATTCCTTCTTATTTAGAAATTCTAGTATAATCAGTTTCATCAGACAAGCACAGGGAGGAGAGAACTAAAAAATCAGAACTTAATGGCTGCTATACACAACAGAATTTGAGAAACACTGCGGAGTCCGTCTATCAAACTCCATAGGCTTACTGCTCAAGTTCCTGTCTCCACAGCCCCACCAGGCCTAGCCTCCAAAAAAGCGTAATCTGTTGTCAATTTTCAACAATATTCACGTCTCAGAGTAGCTTCTCTGAACTATATAAGCCAAAGCTCTAGTTGTACAATTGTGCTCTTGAATACCATCTAAAAACTTTGATTTGGGCCGTTCACAGTTTTAGCTCTTGCGGGCCGGGAGTATCCAATGACTAGTTCCTAAAGCCTTACTATCCCTTAAAGCCTCACAGCCGGAAGACTTTCTTCTAGTTGGACAATTGTGCTCTTGAATACCATCTAAAAACTTTGATTTGGGCCGTGCACAGTTGTAGCTCATGCGGGCAGGGAGTATCCAATGACAAGTTCTATGAGAATGAAAGATACCGACTTAGAGTACTAAGACAGGTGATTTCGACTATCTCTTAGCACCTCATCATCAAGAAGATACTTATAGATCAAAGCACATAAACCACCAACTTCTCCTCCCTTTCTATTCATTAATAGGCATATTTTCATTCATAAACTGTACAAAATTCGAGGCCTAGTTCAGTTCATCACGTTAATTGACCCTCTCTAATAAGGGCAACAGGTCGTATGATTATAAGTTCATGACTATTGAAGAATGAGCGAACAACTCATGGGGTGTGGCTAGCATTGGTGGCAAACTCAAATATTGTGTAACTAAATAATTTTTCCTGATCTAAGCAATGTCCAACCAAGTGAAAGCATTTTATGTTTTTCATATATTACCAAACTAGTCACAGGAATCAGCCCGTTAAGTGGGACCCGGGTCCTTACATAAACCACCAACTTCTCCTCCCTTTCTATTCATTAATAGGCATATTTTCATTCATAAACTGTACAAAATTCGAGGCCTAGCTCAGTTCATCACATTAATTGACCCTCTCTAATAAGGGCAACAGGTCGTATGAATATAAGTTCATGACTATTGAAGAATGAGCCAACAACTCATGGGGTGTGGCTAGCATTGGTGGCAAACTCAAATATTGTGTAACTAAATAATTTTTCCTGATCTAAGCAATGTCCAACCAAGTGAATGCATTTTATGTTTTTCATATATTACCAAACTAGTCACAGGAATTTAAAATTGGTCTGTTTCTTGAGTATTTCTTTGTTTTATGTAAAAATAACAATACAGCTTCCCTTCGAAAAATAACAGCAATACAGTTTCTACCCGGACATGTATCAGATAGGTAACGCGGTCATAAAACTATTAATTTTTCGTAGCTAAATCCAGCAGTAAATTAGATGGCCAATCTAAGTTCTAGTCTACATTTCAGTATCTGTTTTCCTCTGGTTAAAATACATTTATATCACACTTGATCACCAAACCTACAGCAAGTTTTGAGGGGGGGGGGGGGGGGGGGTTGAACACTGGGAGGGATTTAAATCCCTCACTGGTGAGTAATGCTTGGAATCTTCTAAACAGTGTTACACGAGACAAGTACAATATGAGCAACGGATTGTTGGATGTATGAGACAAGCATTGATGAAGACAGGATTGGATTTTGACCAAGTTACGGTCTACAGGCAAAATGTCTCAAAAATATCATAATATGATTAATGTTGAAGTTGACGGAAGAAATAGAAGGGACAAAGTTTTTCGACGTGATATGACAAATGACTTTCTGATAAATAAGTAGACAATGCAGACTGCAGAGGGACTTAAATACATTCAACCAAGATTATGTAGCCAGACCTCATTTCTGGGTCTCTAGATTTCACGAAAACTATAGCAGCAAAATGAGCTTTTGATCATGTAACAACAAAGGAGTGAAGGACTAACATTAAAAGAGTCTTTTCTTTCACATTGAAACTATACATTCTTAAATGTACAGGACTTGTGTGGGTGTATGAGTCTACTTATATACTCATCTCAAGATAATTCACCAATGTCATCAGTGAAAATACATAGAAGATATCTAGTATAGGACAAAGCCAAAGTCTTGCACGAAAAAAGGACATTTTATAATTTATACTCCCCAAGCAGCAGACTTGCCAAAGTAATGTACTTGGCTAAATCAAGTTTACGCTAAAAAATTACTCCACAAAAAAAAAAATGTATAACACATTTCTGGGAAATATCTTCATGAAGTGCAATTCTGATCTAGGATATGGCAAGCCAGAATATCTAGGTTGCACTTTATGGAAATAGCAACGTAACACAACACATGGACGTGCAATTTTCAAAAAAGTAGGGCACAAAACAAACAAATACAAGGTATGAACATGAACACACGTGAAACTTTCTAGTTTCCATCCAATAATTTGGAAAAAAACAGGCTGATGTATTATATGGTCCATTCTTTATGAAGATTCTGGCATATGTTTGTTCATTTGAGATGTAGAAAATCAGACACATGTTATCGTAAGCGAATTCACTCATTCGTAGTTTGCTAGGGACTGTTTAGATTATTATAAGCAAGAAATTTCCCTTCAATTCGCTAGTTTTAAAGGGGAAATGCTAGCTCTACAGCTTTTACTTGAGTATCAAATTAGTAACCCCATATACTGGTCTAAGAAAATATAAGGACTTGTAAGCATAGTACAATATGCATCCATCTTCTGTCCTTATTTTGTTCAAATATGACTCACCACTCACTACATCCACCTTCAGGCTTTCCTCTTCTGAAATCAGGGAATGAACACCAAATTAAGGGAAGATTTACACGAGGTCAGGTTCCACATGCAGGATTTACTGAAGGAGTGAACTGGAAAGGAAAGGAAATGGTTAGAAAGGCTTAACTGGGTCTCAAATGAAGAATTGGCTGAAGGAGTAAACTGGAAAACAGCACAGGTTGTCAACAGTGATGAGCAAAACCCTAGAAGATGCACTAAAAGACTGATTGATCAATCCATGCTCCTCACCAAATATAGTCATGAGAGAAGGCCAATAAAAGAGATATCTGAGACTTCAAAGGCATTTCAATACATCATGTTCACCTTTGTCTTCCATAGTATCACCACCTTTTTGCTTGAGTGTTGGAGGGTATTTGTCAGGTTACAGCCCAACAACCCAGCACCTCTATTGACACTTGACTGTGGTTGCAGACCCTGAGTGCTCACAAGAGACAGTACAGTGCAGGTCCAAGCCTTCAAAGAGGAATTGTGGAAGTCTATAAAAGACTTCAACGATTTCAATGAAGTTTTTTATCAATCCCAAACTATGTAATACAATCGACTTTTAATTCTAAGGATAGAGCAGAAAATTTTATAGCAATCTATAATAATCATTAAAAAAGCTATAAAAGCAATCCATCAGAAACCTAAATCATAACAGTACAAGAAAACTCATTAATCCATGGCACATTATGTTATTTCATTTTCAATTGGCAAGAAATCCCATTTTCCAGAACAAACCAGCAGCCAAAATTTCTTTAAAAAGAAATGAAAAATCATCGAACACATTACTGATTCCATTATTCAATCAATTGTGCTCGAATATAATATATTCTTATTGCCAACTAATATAAGTTCTCAAATAACTTATCGGAAAAGCTGTTAACTTACCCAAATTTAACTCGAATGACAGAAATCCCAAATGAATATGAAATTTCAATCTTCATTAAGTTGTCCAAGTTCAGCCTTCAACTGCTCAATCTTGAGCCCCATAGCCCGTTGAATAGCGCTCCTCTGGTTATCCGGAAGCTTTTTCAACAGCCCTTCATACATTTCGAGAACTTCATTAACAGAAGCGCGTGCGCATTCAGCTTCCTCGTCGAAATACAGAGTCTCTTTGGACTCCATGGCCGACTCTATATCCTCTCTCGCCTCTGCAAATTTTAGGTTGATTTCATCCACCTCTTTGTCTGCGTCAACACTGTATTCCCTGACATCTTGGAAAATACTGAAATGGGTTGATGAATTTATGTTTGCTGGATGATAAAAATGGTGGGGTTTCTTCGGTTGTTGGGGTACAGAGCCATGGGTTGAGAAATTTTTGAGGGCGATTAAGGGAAATTGATATTTGGGTTTTGAAATTCTTCCAAAAGGGTTTCTGGAGAGCACTTTACACAGAGAAATTGACAAGCGCCGGTCCATTCTGTAGTGCACTGAGAGCAAGATCGAGAGAGGAGCAATTGCAGATGTCAATTAACTACGTGCTCGTTTCATAACTTCATTGAAATTTGGGGGATATTTAAGACAAGATCCATAACTTATATTAATTTTGTAATTATAGAAATTCAATTTATTTATAAAATTCATAATTTATATCAATTTGTTAATATGTTGATTGTGATTGAATTTTAACTTTTCATTTAGCTTTGATAGGCATATTAATTAATTTGGAATAGAACTCAAACAAGTAAGATGGTTGATTTAAATTAAAATTGGGTGGTTTGATAGCACAAATTAAAGTGAAATAGCTCGATTGCAACTAGGGTAAGGTTAACGGACCTCCATCGTAATTAACCCTAATATGAATTTCTAAAACACATACTACTAATAATTTTACTCAAATAATAATAGAGAAAGTGAGAAAGTAAGCTTATTTATAAGCAATTATTTTGGACAAGTCAAACAAGAGTTTGATATCTGAAGTGGCCTTGAAATTTGGATAAACTTCAACACCCTTTACTCAAAAAGAGCTTCGGGTCCGTTTGATTGCAAATGTGAAAAATAGGTGGAAAAAAAATATTTTACAAGGAATTGATTTGTCTAGAAATTATTTTACTGAGAATTATAATTAATTGTGTTTGATTGGTATAATTTTTCATGGAAAATGTTGAAAGTTTGGTATCCGTTTGGTTTCCTTTTTTATGAAAATTATCCATTAAAGTGATAATATTTTCTACCATTGGGTCTAGAATTTGTTCCAATTGCCAAAAAAAATTGAAAAAAAAATAATTATACCGAATATCATTCGTTTGGCTTTGTTTTGTATGGAAATTGTCAATAAAAGTGAATTTTTTTTTACCATCGTGTCTAGAGTTTTTTCCAATGGTAAAAAAAAAAACCTGGAAAATATTTACCCACCAAAACATCAAGAATTTATTTTCCTCAAAAAGGTAGAAAATTTGGAAAGTTGGAAAATGTGTGCTATCAAACGGGGCCTTCATGTTTAAAGGAGAAAATTGACATAAGACAATTTTTATCACTTTTTAACTTTAGAATTTTTTTTGGTTTATTTTAGTATGATTTGTTTATATATTTTGTAACTCTTTTAAGATTTTTTTCCCCTCTTTGAGTTATCATAGAATCCCAATCGTCGTTCTAGTAAAGATACTCATGGTTGAGTAAAATTAAAGTATATGAAATATGACATAATAGTCAATCTACAATTGAGATATGAGGTACATTCAACCTTTTCGGCGTATTTACGAGTGTGTGTAGTTTTCATCAACATGATTGCTAAAATTCGATGGCTATGATATTATGTTTATACCCTTATGTTTGAAACTTTTTTTTTTATTTAAAAAAAAATCACTTATGCACCCATTCTTTCTCGTCACCCCCACTTGTTATCCTCATTATACCCATCGGAGAGTTGGAAGGATCCATGGAGAATTCATTTTTATTTGCCTTCTATATTCTTCGACTTTGTTGAAAAATTGTGAATATCATATGCTCAAATTCTCTCATTAGAAGTTAGAACATCTCCAAAAAAACTATCTATGTATAAAAAGTATCTTATACATAATAGAGTGCATCTTTAAATTTAAATAGTAAATTTTTTTATGCACTCCAACAAATTCTCTATTTTGACTTTTATTTTATTTTTTAAATAAATATTTATTGATTTCTCCACATCTCTTATTTAACATATTTTTTTTATATGGTAATTAGAACGTAACATCTCTACCTTTCATTATTATTGTAGACAACATTTATACCTTCCATTTTTTGACATTTTCACTATTAATTACACATTTGATTGTGTAAAACATTATTTTCATCTAAATTCTCAATAAAAACTGTAAAATAACGATTATACTCTCATATTTAAATAAAATAAAAGAAAAATAAAGAATTAATTACAAATATAGTCCCAATTTTTTTAGAAAATTCAAACAAATCCCAAACAAACTATTAAAAAATTAAAAAAAAAATTCTACTTCTTCTTCTTCTCCTCCCTCCCATCACCACCACCAACTTTTATCTCAATCCAATCAACGTATCACCATTGTGCCCTCGCCTTTACTTGTCAACACTTGCATCGTATCTGATATCCCGTCAAAAGGCCTCCAGTTCAACTCCTCCACCCCCTTCAACATAATTAACAATAACACCATCTACTACCTCAATTGTTTTGTCGATGTAATGAACTCCTTGTTAAACTGCACCTCAAATAACCTCAAATTTGGATTACGGATTACCGGTAAGCAGGTGGCCAACGTCTGGAGTGGAATCGTATAAAGATTTTGCCCATAGAGCCAACATGTGGGATGACGGGGATAAGGAGGAAGTGGAGGATAAAGAAGGGGGAAAGTGTTGGAATTTGGTTTAGAAAATGGAATTAAGTATGAAAAGTGACTTTCGTGTCAAATTCGACCAAATATTCGAACTTGATCCGATAGTCAAGTTATGAATATAAATAGACTAATTTGTTCTACTCTTCGAGTAGATAGTCGTTGTATAATTGGAATCTCAAAACTAATTTTGGATGAATGAGAAATTGCGATCCAGAGTTAGATAGAAATGATGAAATATAGGTTGGAAAAATGATAATCTCTATCGCTCGAGCGAGCTCAAACGGTGAGACTATCGCTCAAGCGAAAGTCTAGCGACAGAAGCTCTGATGAAAAGGTGTAACTGTCGCTCGAACGAGAGGTCAGCGACAGAGACCTTTGGCAAATGTTGCTGAGTTTGGGGCACGACATTTCACTCACAACCTTTCATTGTCTATATAAAGGACCCTTTGGACGTTCATTTTGCATCCCATATCATTTTTTGCATTGGTCATTATATCAAAACTCTTGAAAAATACTCTCCAAAGTCATTCCAAAACCATTTTCTTGTAGAGAGAAAATCATCGTTCCAAGTTCGTTGTTGCTTGTGATTTGAAATGCATAAACCACAAGTTGTACCCGTTGTATGTTGGGAGACAAGTCGTAGTCAATTAGCACCATTGCGGGGCAATATTGTTTCAAGGAGAAAGTTTTTTCACTTGCCTCGAATTTCGATTTCGATTTTCATTTTGTTTTTCTTCTTCTTATCTCCTTTCTTTCCATTTTCTAGAGTTTAATTACGCTCCTACGAATTAAATTTGAATATTTTTGCCTTAACAACCATTTACATATACTTATGACAATACATGTTTTTGGTTGTTACATCATTTCTTCATCTTTGGAATAAGCATTTGTATGTTATTCCTTTCATTCTATATTTTTGTATGTTGAACTTCTGTTCATAACATAAATGAATCCTGTTGAGGCTACTTCAAGTCAAACAACAAATGATATGAACCATGTGGTTCCACCTTTGGCCATACCTATATCAAACTCTCACATCCCACATGGGAAAAATCGAAAAATTTTGAAGGTGTAGATTTTAAAAGATGGCAACAAAAGATGTTTTATCTTACTACTTTGAATTTGGCAAAGTTCCTAAAAGAAAAGGCTCATGCTGTACAAGAAGGAGAAAATAATCGTGAGTCGATTATTGTGTTAGATGCATGGAAGCATTTAGATTTCCTTGCAAAAATTATATCATAAATGGATTGGACAATACACTTTATGGATTCTATAGTTCAATGGACTCGGCCAAGGATCTATGAGTTTCTTGGAAAAGAAGTACAAGACTCGAGACTAAGTTCATTGTTGGCAAATTTTTGGACTACAAAATGGTAGACTCGAAAATCGTGATAAGTCAAGTACAAAAACTTCAAATTCTACTTCACGATATACATATTGAAAAGATGGAATTGAGTGAGTCTTTTCAAGTTGCAGCCATCATTGAGAAACTCACTCCTGCGTGAAATGATTTGAAGAACTATCTCAAACACAAACATAAGAAGATGAATTCGGAGAAATTAATAGTCTGATTGAGGATCGAGGAAGATGATGAAAACACCGAAAGGAAATCTATTGTTCAACTTGGAGCAAATTTGGTTGAAATTGGTTTGAAATTTGTCATCAAGAAACGAAAGATCTCCAGTGTGGTACCAAAAAGAGACAACTCCAAGAATGTCAAGAAGTTTAAATGCAACTATTACAANAAGATTGATCATAATCATAAGTGTGAAGTATGTATTAAAGCAAAGTTGGTCAAAACACATTTTTACTCAATTCAAAGAAACACGACACATTTAGAGTTAATACATAGCGATATATGTGATTTGAAATTTGTTCAAATTAATGGTGGTAAGAAATATTTTATAACTTTCATTAATAATTGTACAAAGTATTGTTATGTCTTTGTACCACGAAATAAATATTAAGCCTTAGACGTCTTTAAACATTATAAGACGAAAGTTGAAAACCAACTTGACAAACAAATAAAAAGTATTCGTAATGATAGAGGTGGTGAATACGGGGCACTGTTTGAAGAATATTGGGAATTTATGACATGGCTAATTAATGGCCAGCTTGAGTAATTTAACAGCCACGTGTGCAAATCGTCATCCACGTAGGCAATCGATTTTGACGGAATTAGCCTGGTGATGGATAGAGTGCAACTTTACTAAGTTCGGTGAGTGATGGGATGCAACTTAAAGTTCAGTTAGTGAAACGTGACACTTTGTAAAGTTCAGTGACCGTTGAAACAATTAACTCCTCTAATATTTGTACATAGGGGGGGACTCTATCGGGAGTTAAATGTTTCATTAGCCATTGAACTTTGAAATATGTCACGGACTGCTCACCGAACTTTCAAACTTGTCCCGTTGGCCACTGAACTTCTCTCCGTCCATCTCAGTCACTCACTGGCTAAAATCCGTAATTTAACGTGCTTAGGTGGAAGATGGGAAACCCAGCTGGCAGTTAAATTCGTCCACATGCTGAGTGAATTGAATTACACACCTTTAACAATTTAACTCCCCCAAATTAAATTACACTGCACCTCCAGAGAAGAGAAGCTCGAACAAACCCTACATTCCCCAA